TTCGGTTGGTACATCCGTTCTTACCAAAGACCGGCAAATCTTAATTATATATATATACTGTATGTATATATATGGAGTGAACATAGACGCCAAGCATACACTTATTGCTTACCGAGCACCATCACTGAACCGAGCAATTGCCAGCATCTGGCAAGCAACCACACGACCCAACCAACCTCGCCAAATAACATGGTTTTCATTGGTCCTCGAAGTCCACGGCTGCAAAGGACAAAACGGTGAAGGGCAATAAAGCCAGTAATGAGCGTAGAGGTACAAACCCAACACGAAACTATTGGCCATACATCAATCACTTCACTACAAGCCGTCATATTTCATACATTTATCGTGGAATCACTGCAGAAATGCCCAAGTTGAACGGGTTTTTTTTACTTGATTATCGAATTTGAAAGAGTCAAACTGGTGTTACTTCCTCCTAATGCTTTTCTCCTTCGACATGATAATTAGCCGTCATGTCCAATTTACCCAACATGGGACCACCGAGTATTACTCACTGTCCTCGATTTCAAGCATCGGTCGATCAAGGGATAGTTGAAAAGTAACTAAGACCGTAAATGTGTATCTTGGACACTGTTGTGAAACTCAAGTCTTCACGAGATACAGTCTCTCGGAGCGGCTATTGTGAAGGATGCTGTGGGCGGAAGGTTATTTGATGGTCCCGTTAACATCACCTTAATTTTTCTAACAGCTAGGTTTTATGACGAACAATTCAAAGATTTACTCGATGTTGGAATAACACAGTAGCTTGAAAGCACTGTGAAGCCTGACGTCACCAAGCTTAGATGATTTGACCACCAAATACGTTTTCCCGGAGCAATGACGATCACACCATGAAATGTGCTACATGTGAAACTAAGCCGGCCTTCCTTAGATAAATCTTCCAACCCAACCAGAGCTATTAAACACGCCACAGAAGCCAAAAGCCGGCCAAACAAAGAAGACTCGAAGTCTCTCAGACCAACATGGTTGATCATCATCAGAGCTTGTCAGTGATTCCTATATCCTCTCGTATTACCGCTCTATCCGTTTATTTTTTGGTAAACCAGCCGTGCTATTCCTAGTTGTCTGTTCATGCTCTGCTGCCCTTATTTCTTATACCAGACAGCCAAACTATAAAATTTCTTTCCAATTTAATGTTAAATCACAAACTTTTTTCGATCCATTAGTTCGCAGGCACATGGCATCCTAGCATCGCTTGATGTCATTTCTGTGCCACAAAGTTCGGTCAATGCAGGAATTCACTAACCCTTTTTCGCACTTTCATAGTCTCGTGAAAAAATTCGGCCAAGTTGGTTCCCTCCAAAGAAGCGGAATTCAGACGCAAGCACACCATACTCAACAAAACGGCTGCTGTGGGAGTGAGGTAATTGGCTCTATCCAACAGAAACCATTATAGGCAACAAAACGTTAGTCTTGAATGCCCGAGGAACCAAACTTTCAAAGAAATATAGGACTTCAGAAGGCCTAAACAAGCACTCACCGATACGCTGCGAAGGCGACTGCAGTCTAGGTTGAGCAAAATACGGCCATAGTTGAGCAGCTCAGCACAACCGCTGATACGCAAATTCACCACAGTGCCAACCAGATCCTTTTGTGCATGACGAACGGCGTCACCAAGCATATGATCTCGTTCGAGTAGCACTACTTGATTGGTTTTCATTGAAGTGGGAATAGGCGAAGACCAAGGAGGGTACTCATCACCTGTGGTCAACGACATCCAACTGATTTTGATCTGAGGCAATGGGATGAGCAAAAGTTGCAAGATAAAATCCGTTAGCAGTCTTTCGTTGATCCTAGTGAAAACACATAAGCTGCGGTGAGTCCGGTTTGGCCATCCACAGTGTCTTTTGAAAGTTCCTGGAGGTCTTTGGAGCTAAAAAACGGTGCCTTAGGTCCCAAAGAGGCAGACTGAAAGTTATCAACAGACGATAGAAACATACCTTGTAGAGCTACTACGTCCGTGAAGATTGAGACAGCCAGTAGGTAATATGTTTCCCTCAAACGGATAATCATGACTCCTCACAGCTTGGAACCTACAAACTACACAGTGCCCTCACAGGAAAAGAGGGCCAGCTAAACAAAGCAGTTTAGTTTTCGCCATTGGAATGGTACCAGAAAGCAACTGTCATAAATCTTGTTGGTCATCATCATCGACAGCATGTTGGTCAGGTTCAATGATGAAACATGCTGAGGGGACAACACATGGCAAAAGTGAAATGATCAAACCTGGTCACTGACCAGGGTCGCTGGTTAGGAAGCAAACTAACATTTTATTCATTGAGGTGCACCAACTTATAATTCGACGGCTGTTTGGAGAGATACGATGATATTTACATATAATTGGGTATTTGGAAACAAAAGCTTAGATGTCTGAACGGCCTCCACAATAGGGCCCGTTTGGATAACCTAGGTTGTAACCTAGGTACCGAGTGGCGACAGTTCCAAGTCAAGCATTGATGTTAAGGAGCTAGCCTTTTTACGCTGACGCCCTTAGGATATCCCTTATTTTGCGTAGCCTTTGGACTCCTACCTCAGTTCACTATCGCCACAAGAGGATTGTGTACTTCTGGTGCGAAAAGATTTGTGGTCTTGATATACAGCTCTATTCCAGTGGACACGCAAGTCACCCGTCCCTTCTAAAATGTGTGCATGTACTTAGAAAGAACTATAAGTGGTTCATTGTGTATAAGCACTAGTTGCATTGTTCGCTTACTTGGGCTATTTTGGAGGATCCTTAAAGAAAAGAATCTGATGCAAAAGACTGGCAAATCGGTTAGGGGCGTTGACATCCTTCCGGATGATACGGATGTCTCGGTCGGTCGGTTAAACCTCATGAAATTACACATAGTTTATCTATTCAGAAAGAATATCCAATGCACAGACAATAGCGACATTCCCAACTGCGCGCTGACGAGCGGACATTTCTGAGAAGTAATCTGGTGACTACCAAGTGCAAACTGATCCTGAACCCGGTTGGATCATGTAGAGTGCTGCGATTCAAAAGTGCCGTTCTTAAAGGGACAAGAAATTTTATTCCGATTGCGCTACGGTCCATCATACCTGAAAATTCGCTTTCCCTTAGGACTTCGCCGGTCAGTAAAACGGCAGTCCCTCGTAACACAGTCTCTAGTGACTTCATAAGCTTGAACGGGATGTAAAACTTAATAATTAAAACTTAATTATTTATACAGTGCGAAATACCTCTATGAGAGCGCACGATGTTTGGGTGGTTTATAGGCAACCCTTGTCAAAAAACAGCGGCTTCGGTAATCATCCTTACGAAAACTCGATGCCTCATGAAGCGAAGAAAGTGTCTGCATAGTGGGACACGGTAACAACCCTAGCTTACAAAAAATTTAGCAAGCACTGTGAGCCATCGTCACATGAGCCTGATAACTGTAGTGTCCAAGGTGCTCTCTGATCACATACGGACCGCTAAGGAACATACCTGTGAAAAATAAGTCAGGTTTTGACTTGTAGGGCCTTTAAGCCTTGTTGACAGAACATGGACTACGTTTTAATCGTCCCAGTCTAGCACAAGGCTGAACGGTCCTTCGGCATACGAGATGGCGAGATGGCTCAAGTGGTTAGAGCGTGAATTTACTGACTGGAAGGTCCGTGGTTCGAACCCGACCTCTGCCTCTCGACTTCCCCTATCTAGGCTTGGGAAACCTGACAGTATCCCAGTCCTCGTACTTCCTTCGGGTGGCATGGCAGCTAGGCACCGAAAGGGCGCTACAGCTGAACGATTATTATTATTTAACCAAAGTAACGTGTGATGTGTGACCAGATGACACACTGGATATGAGTGAACTCCCAGGTGATTTAGGATCAACGATCTGGTGCTCCCGCCATACCCGCGCAATGCTTCAGAGGCAACGATGGTTAAACAGAGAGAGCCTTTGAAGGATTTCAGCTTGCGGTAGCCAAGTCTCTGAATCATAAAGTAGGACGGATCGGAAAAAGAAATTGTAAACGTTATAATGGTACCGTCACGGCCTTGCCTATTAGGAAAGTGATTCCGTCCTCCACTAAATTACCGGAACTTTGTGGCTGTCCGAGTAAAAGAACCTATCATCTAGATCGACCGGTTCACCTACAAGCGTGAGGTTTAAGTTTGGTCCTACCCCATCTTGCACTAACGCTTTACTCTTTACAGGTGTGAAGCGCATCCCGAACAGTACGGCAGAAATAGCTGGGTAATTTAAAATAACTCACATTTCTAAGAGGTCTGATATAAGAAGAGCAATATCGTTGATGTGGTCGACGTCCGCGAACGAACGCTCCGGTAGTATTTCAATTTCAAAGATGTTGGGGGCATTTATGAAAGATGCAAGCACTATATCGATTATGAGGTTTAAAAGGGTGACAAAGGACATCCTTGCCTAACACCAGTGAATGAAAAGAATTCGTCACAAACACCCGTGCGTCCGCGGGAGGCATATAAAGTCTTCAAGATACAGGAATTTAGAAAGTACACCCTTCATTGACAAACACTATCACAGTTCGCGACAAGCAACGGAGTCAAAATTAGCATCATCATCATGACATCGGTGTTCAACACTGATGCTTCCTGCCTACAAAACACTATCACAGTTCGCGACAAGCAACGGAGTCAAAATTAGCATCATCATCATGACATCGGTGTTCAACACTGATGCTTCCCTGCCTACAACCATGACTTATTTGAAAGCCTTATTGTGAAGAAAGGAATAAGTGGATGGAGAAGAGACTTCGTGATAGCTTAAAACAAGATGCCTACGAGGTACCTACGCCTGCACTCATTCAAACAATCTGGACAACTGACAACAAGCAGGCCATTGACATCTAGCAGCATCCATATCGTGTAGCGTCTCCAACCAGGCGCAGTGGGGATCTCTCGGTCCCCATCCTGGATGGCGAACAACGCTGACAAAACCAAGATGTTTCATAATCTCTTACACACCCCTCTGCAACTCAAGGGTTAGCCACCTCCCCGCTGCCGCCACTTTAAATGGAGTACGGAAAACAGCGCTCTTTGGCAAACGATAAACAGGCATACGCAACAGATGTCCCAACCAACGCAGCTTCTGGTGCTGGACACATTCTTCAATACAAGTCCCCGTTGCACAACCGAAAACTCGTTTTCTAACTGCCTTGTTACAGATTCGCCGGGACGAACCCACACGAGCCATTCTTCTGAGTAATCGGTAGTCGAATACCTGAAGACGTCTCAGCTCCGCTGATCGAACAGGCCAAGTCGCAACCATATAGCAAATCAACCTGTACCGTAGCCTGATACACACGTGACTTGAGATTCAGATTGTAAGTGGCGTGTTCCGTGACTGCATATCCAGCGGCATAACCTTACGATTTGTGGGTGCATCCTAAAGGACGGGATGCCTTTGGACAGTTCATCCAAAAAACCGTGAGCCTACTCGACTTCGAAGATGAGGGGGAGGGGACATCATACTAGCTCAATCAATCCGGAAGGGAACTGACAGAACGGATGCCACTGATGTCGTTCGCCCGCCATTCCTTGCAATGTCCCTATCCAAGTGCATTCGGGATCACGGAGATCCCATCCTGAAAGACGTACCGTACCAACAACACACAAGCTCTCTGTAACCGCCTTCACACCCTTCTGTCCCCTCGCGGTTAGCGCCATTTTGAAGGAGGCACAGAGAACAACACTCGTTTCGGTGGACAATGTTCTACCATGCTCAGCACATGACCGACCCACCGTAGTTGTTGGTGCTGGACATCTTGCGCGAATAAGGTGCCCACCGTATAACCAAATACCCGTTTTCTAATCACATAGTTACGAATCCATCTACGCCATCCAAAAATAACAACGTTTCCGAAGCATCCGCGGTCAAAAACTTGAAGAAGCCTCATATCATCTGTTCGCAGAGGCAGTGCCTCGCAACACTACAACCCTTATTGTAGCTTGGAACAGACGCCTCTGGAGATCCAGTGAAATGCATGGTAGACCCCGCAAATGACGCAAATTGGCAAACGTTATTTGGGCACTTGAGATTCGCGCACTGACTTCATCAGATGCACTTCGGTCCGGATCAACACAAATACTGAGGTGTGTAAACTTCTTCACCATCTCCAGTGAATTTCCCTAGGCTGCAAGGAGCATACTCATGGACTGAGTGTTTTGATGTACGATAACGAACTTACAACGTGCAAGACGCATGCCAAAAGATGTTATGGTGGTTGTCAGTTTATTCAAAGGTTGTGTTTCGCCTTTTTCTTCAACAATAAGGGGCGAGATGGTTCGGTAGTTAAACCGCGAATTTACTGACCGGAAGGTCCGTGGTCCAAATCTGACCTCTGCTTCCCGATTTCCCCTGACTAGGCGTGGGCAACCTGGCACAAGCCTAGCCCTCGTGCTTCCTTCTGGTGGCACGGCAGTTAATTACCGCAGGGTGTTACAGCTTAAGGATTATTTTACAGAGATGAAGACAAAGTACTCACAAGCCGCGAATTGAAACCCTGGATTTTAGAGATATTCAAGCGTTTGCCCCAATATTTAGTCAATGACGTAATTGAGCAAGGAGAGTAGACACTCTTGCCGGACCCCATTTATTGTAGGGAAGCTTGCAGAACTCACCACACACACACCGAAGTATGTGAATACAGGAAGCGAATTCGGTTCACAAATTCCATTGGTACCCCTGTTGGGCAATTGCAGTTAAGATCGGTGACTGATTGACAGAAACGAACGCACAGTTGAAGCAAAGAGACACTAGTATCGCAGGTTGTCTGTACATATGGCATTAATCTAACACTTGACGGAATTCGAAGATGTGATCAACGTGGGAGAACAACGACGATTTAGTATATATATATATATATATATATATATATATATATATATATATATATATATATATATTGTATT